ATTCTAACGATGAGCACCAAAGTTTTAAATACTACATATGCCTTGCATAATATTCATTTAATTTTTTCTAACATAAATTAAATGAAAAATATGCGCTTAGAGTGCTTACATTAATAAAAAGTTTAAAAAGTTTATATAATTGAATGAAGCTAAAGATCTCTCTATATCATATATTGCAGGCTATATAAATTGTTAATATATAAAATGTTTGACTACAGTTTATATATTTTCTTTTCCTTTTTTTTTTTTTTTCTTTTGTTTCTTTTTTTTTTTGTAAACTGATTACGAGTGCATAAAACTTCTTGCAAAGAAGCTCCTGTTATTTTAATTATGTACATCAAGGTCTATAAAAATTGATTTTTTATCTTACTTTCGATACAATAGCTGCTCATTTTAATCCTAGAGAGACAGTTGCTAGGAATTTAGTAAAGAGGAGCTTCATCCGCTGATATAGCTAATTCTTCATCGCTCCAGTCTTCATTGCCTAGACCCACTGAACCATGGAAACTTTGCGATCTAGCTACATGGCTAAAAAATAATATACAATAAGTAAATTTATCATTCCATATGTAAAACAAGAATTGAAGCTTTTAATATTCATACTGCTTAAAACACAACATTTCTTTTTAATACCACTGGCAAATGCAAAACAAAGTTTAATATGAAACTGGAAGAAAAAAAGATAAATTAAAAATTAAATTATTATAAATATAAAAAATATTAATTTTCATTAATTTAGTTTGTCAAAGAAACAATTTTGTATCGTAATAGCAAAATATTATACTTTATACATATGCAATATATATAAGATAAGTGTGTTATGAAACAAACTAGTGCTTATTAAATAGACCAGGAATCGATAGTGACCAAATAACATTCTATTAACGTATTCTTCTTAGAGATAATTTGTATAACGAACACTTTTTGATTCCTGGATGTAACGAATGTAAACAACGAGCAGAATCAGGAAGCAGAATTATAACTTATTGATTTTTTCAAGAGAATTGTCATATGTTAATAAAAATCATCTACGATAGAAATAATCATAGCATCTCTAGAAAAAATCTATAAGCTCATAAAATTCAAACAAGTTTTTAATCGTACCACTTGCTTGCATCGAAGAGATCTCTATGTGTATCTTTACATTATCGATCGCTATCAGTCCTACCAACATAGTGAAATGATTACTTATATGATTAATAAGACAATGAAATGAATTTTTCTTTTTTTATTTATTTCCTTATACGTATATATAAAAAGAGAAATATTTCAAATTATCTACCTTGGTGAGAGATTTGCATTAGTAGTGGATTTCTTTGATAAACTAGCTTTTTTTCGTCCTTCCATTGCTGCTTTCATGGGATCATAACTCTTACGACGTTTCCAATTTTGCATTTCTACTTCTCTTGCATTTGGTGTTACTGGTTTCTTTGTTTCCTTTGGCTTACCTTTAAGGCCCTAAAATATATGTTTTATTGTTATTACATTTATATATATATTATAATGACAATTAAACACATAAATGTTTGTAATTCAAACTTACAGCACTTGAGACTCTACTAGCTCGCATGCTAAAACGTCCTGAATCAGTTCTATTTATACTAGTGTTAGGTTCTATCTTTGCACGTGTTTCCTGTGTAATTTTAGGCTTAGTTATACTTGAATTTATTGTTTTTGATGGTTGTGGTTCTAGCCTTGCCCTACGTAAACTACACAAAATATTAATACATATTGATACAATTTTTAATAATATACAAAAATGATATTATATATTTACCTAAATGCTCTATTATATTTAGTATTGGAAATTGGAGGTTGGGTAACATGTTGTTCATCACTAGTTTCTGTGTCACTAGGTTGATGTGTTACTTTTGATATACTTTGATGTAAACTTTGACTAGTATCTTCATCGCTTTCATTGTCAGAATCTGCTAACGATGGATGATATACTACCATACGTGCAGACATTGCTGAGACAACATTTTGAGTTGTTTGTAAATATGATGAGGTTTCTAGATCACTATCACTACCCTGTACAAATTCAAAGAAATGATGTGTATTGAATTACAAAGATTATAATACATATTTTTTTAAATGCTTGAAAATATAGTTATATACCAATTGCAAGCTACATGGAGTAGGTTCTTGATTTTCATCTTGTGAATAATTTAATTCATTATCAGACCACTCGTTTGCTAATGAAAGAGTACCACCAGTTCCATGAAAACTAGCTGAGCGTAATACAGAATTGTCATGACTGAAAAAGAAATTTATTTTAATACTTATCTGCATAAATTTGGTTGTATACATTGACTATTGCAATAAGCACTTACTTTCCAGAACTATCTTCAGTACTATGATGTTTTTTTGAACCATCAACAAGCTTTTTTCTTCCTTCTGCAGCTGCTTTCATCGGATCATAACTTTTTCTTCTTTTCCAATTTTGAAATTCTACTTCTTTTGATGTAAGCGTTGAATTACTTCTACCAGAATTTTTAGTTTCCTTGTTAGGTTTCTGTGCATTTCTTTGTCCGATAGGACCATGCTGTAGATAATAATAGCAATATTTTATATATTTATATTTATTTTTAAATTCTATATCTCTTAACTTTGATAAAACTTACGTAAGAACTTTTAGGTGCTCTTATGCTTACTCTACCAGCATCGTTTCTGGAGATAGATGGTGTTCTAGATTTGGAAGATTCTGATGTTTTTAATGCATCTTTACTGAAAGCACCAACACTACTTGTTCTTCCACGTTGATAATTTTGTTGTTTATTTATTGATGTAATCTTAACATCGGTCTGAGCTTTCCTACGTCTTTCTTCTGGTGTAGTATTTGGTGTTGTATCAGATTCACAATTTAATCTATAAATATTATAATTAAATTATTAAATTGTACATAATGATATTTTTATTTAATGTATATATATATATTATACAAAATGTATTATTTTTTCAATACCTTGCTCGTCTTATGCTAAATGCTCTATTTAATTTAATCCCAGAAGAAATAGGGTTTATAGGAGATTTTGATTGCTGTTCTCCAGTTTCGCTGCTACTATCAGAAGCAACAAGAAATCTATTTCTAGCAGAAATTCTATCAACGTCGCTACTATTGAAGCTACTATGTCGAGACACTATAGCCTGAGATTTTAAATTTCCAATACTAGCGTTACTTGATGATCTTTGTATATTTAATTGTCGTTGCAATTCAAGACAATTTCTTGGTATCCCAGAACTTATAGAAATTTCTTTATTATGAATAGAACTTCGTTCGTGATAATTTGTAGCGCTATTTGATTTTCTTAACATATATGGACTAAAAAAACATATATATAGCATAGATTATATAACATCCGTAAAAATTAAATCTAAATACGTAATTATATGTAATTATTATTAATACCTATTTTCAACACAAGTAAAATATCCAATATTTTTTGCTTGTGGTGTAGATTTTGTCAAATGTTTAGCTCTCTCCAGCATAGGCGAATTAATAATTTTCATCGATGACGTTTTACGAGATACAATAGGACTGTTTGTTAATTTTGGTGTAGATGGCCTTAGGCGATTTAAAACAGGACTGTTTGTATGTTTAGAGTCATCCTTGGTAGAATATTTCATACTATTTTTTCTGGACGTGTTTGATTCTGTAGTATCAGAAGTATAATCTTTTCTGTAATAATATATAAATATTTTTATTTTATTTAGAAAAAAGGATTAAAAAATAAATTGATATTTTAATAATATATTATTTAAATTACCTGTCCAAAGAACTACTTCTCCTTCCCAAGTAAAGAGATGCTAAAGTTCGGGACGGACTCTTTAATAGCTCTGTACCACCTTCTTCAGTCTTTGATTTATCTGAGTTATAATATTTACGAACACTTCTTCGATTATCACTGGTATTAATTCTTCTGAATAAAGATTCAGACAAACTACTACGCCTTCCTAAAGAATTATGTACAGGCGTACGTTGTGAACTGTGTGGTGGCGTATTATAACTATTGCTTGTGTCCTCATCAGATTCACCACCCGAATCAATTAATAATTGTTGGTTCGATATTAAATCTATTCTTTCCTTTAGTCGTAAATATGATTCTGGATCCATACTGTTATCGCTCGGTTCCTATATATAAATTAAAAACAAAAAGTATATTTCTAATCATTTTCTATTTATATTTGTAAATACGTACATGTCGATAACGTGCCATTCTTGGACTCTTAGAATGGATTGGAGATGGTATTTTTGATGGACTTAAGGGAGGAGTACGACCAGTAGGACCACCAATTGCTGGAGGCAAAGAATTATGTTCTGCAACTTGAGTTGCCCATTCGGATATCCATGTGTTGTTATCCCGTGAAATACTCATCTATAGAAATAATTCTCGTTAGAATATGTTTTTTTATATAAATTTATTTAATTATATACCTGGAAACTATGAACATAAGATTCATTGTTTTCTTCTTCCGTTAATACGCCAACACTGAAAACTTTATCAATATCCATCCTAGCTTTTTCTTCATCTGTGTAATCTTTATGAATGGTGTACGTTCCAGCTTCGCTTACTGCTCCATCCGAACCAGCATCAACGTTACTCACATTGAAAACATCTAAATTCGTATCTTCTTCTATATTGCTAATATTTAAATCCATGGTACAACTAACGCTACTGGACAAATTGCTATCAGTTGGATTTGGGTTTTCTAAATTATAATCGTTTAAGCTATAATTAATATTTGATGCTTTTTGAGAATAGCTATTCATTGATCTTTTATAATAATTTTCATCATCGTATGCATTATCACTGGCAATGTATTCTATATTTTTTGTATATGACTTTTCATTCGAATCATCATCGTAATTGCACGCTTCGACATGACTTAAATCATTGATAGTTGCTGATTTCTGAGATGTCCAAAATACTTTAATATTTGACTTTGACCCGTAATCAAGTTCCAACGAAAGATTTTGCCGTGCTAATTTCGGATCTCTCGTTTGATCGTCGCAAGATCTTGTCATTAACTCTTGCTTATTTTTTGTATCATGTAATTTAAAATCGATATCAGATTTTTTAGAGAGAGAATGCGTTCTATGAATGCACTTTGTACCTGTAAAATAACAGAAATATATATAAATGTTAATTATATTATTTAATTAATTATATATTGTATTAACTTACAAAAATTGATATCTTTTAGTAATCACAAATATGACTTTGAAGCTGTTAATACGTTCATAGGCATGCATTACTCAAGACATATTGAATGTACTTGCGAAGAATATTAAAAAGACAGGTAAAGATGATTTCATCATGACTCATGCTTCACAAATATGGACTTCAAATGTGATATACCAATCGAAATTTATAAAAGTATTCTTATATGCGTATGTAACAGAAATATATAACTAACTATAAAAATGCAATCAATAAAAATAGATCTTTAAAAACTATGATGTAAAATGTTAAGATGTAGGTGTGATAATTTATTTCTGTTTATTCAGATTTTATCTACAAAGATATTCAATGATATCTGAAGCGAGGTAATAATGTATTCATCAAATAGAAGTTAAGTGAATTAATTGTAAAGTACAAAAAAACAAGAAAAGAGAATGAAAATAATTACTTAGTTGTTTTAACTTTTCCGTCAGAGAATCAGTTTTCCGTTTGGTATCATCTTCACTGCTAAAATAACCCTCAGAATGCGTACTAGGAATTTTTTGCTTTTGTACCAAATTGGGAGACATTAACGCGCTTCCCTTCTTTCCACCTACTTCTACCTAAAAATGAATAATAATATAACTCGATATACAATCATCATTATTTACTTGTATCCATTAAAACATAACAACATGCTAAGGTAGTATTCACCTTAGATGTAGAAAGATTGCGCCTGTGCCTTGCATTGTACCTCTCAAAAAGATTTTGATATTTGACTTTATCAACTTCTTTGTTGTTACCAAAATCAATTGTAAATACTAATGGTGGTTGAGGCGTTTGAGCGGTGTTACTTGCATCATCATCTTCTACCTTTTTTTCTATCGGATCAGTCTTACATTCATCATCATAATCTTTATTATCTAAAGATGAAAAATTTCCTGAACGTTCCTTGTTAATATTTTTCATATCTGAATTATCATCTAACGTGAGATTCTTTTGCAATGTTTGTTCATTAAACGTGGAATTGTTAGTATATGATTTACAAGTTTCCACGTCAGATAATTTATCATCTACATTTTCAGTTGATATAAAATAAGATGAGGATTCTTTATTTGTATTATCAATATTTATCTCCTTTCTATTTTTTTCAGTAGTTACTTTTCCGGAATCATCTGTTAAACGTTGTTGAACGTCGTTCTGTTTGGCTGTGCTCTCCACTTCCATTTTCACAGCCGTGAAACATGCCAATTATAAACATCCGTAAATAGAAATATAGTATTCCTTGCAATGATATATTTTATTATATACCATTACAATAAGGTTTGATGAAACACCGTTCTCCTATAATTATACCTCACCACTTGACGTAGGAACCATCTCGCGATAAAACGTCATGCACGAGAGAGTGCTATATACAATTATATGAATATAGTATCGCGATCATGAAATTTTTCTGACACATTGGCACGACTTTTAGCATTCGGTGAATATCTTCTGCTTGATTTTTACGTACTGGACACACTCGACCAACAGCTTAAATAAGAATCACTAGAAATCGTTTCGTATTCAAATACATATGTCGCTTATTTTCTGCAGTCGGTAACATACAATTACTATACGCATGCAGCAATTCACTTATTACCAACTTCACGGCGCCATGATACAAATTTCAAACAAATGACAATCGGATGATGCATTATTATGCATTTATATACTTATACACACCGAAAAATAATGTGTTAAAAGGAACACGTTTAGAGACAAATGTAATATAAGTTAGTTTTCACGAATTAAGGTAAAATTATAATTATATATCAAATGTATTCATTTAATTTTGTGTTCTCTTTCCCGCAAACATAAGTGGAAACATAGTGCGATTAAAGTTCCTGCAATTGGAATAAAATAAAAAGGTACTTATTCTGTGTCTCATTAAATTTCTTTGATATTTTTCTTGCGAAGATTATTTCTTTTTGTATTATCATGGTTGTCAGTTTATTCTATACAAAAAAAAAATGATAAAACAATAAAAAAAATAGATTATTAGCTAATTCCTCGTAATAATTTATTTGATATAAGTGTTTTGTTAGGTTATATGATTTACCATGTCACTTTTGATAGGTTATAAATAGGATAGACATTTTTGAATAATTTTATTATATTTAACATGGTAGTATATGGCAAATGGCATTTAATATTGAAAATAGTATTAACAAGTTTAATAGGTATAAGTTCGTTTTTGGGTGACATGTGTTTGAAATATGTTGAAAATGCAATGGCACGTGCAATATTAGACAATTTAACTCATGCTATTGTTGGTGGTTTAGTATGGATATTAATTTTAGTTTTATCAAAGAAGTCACTTACACAAAATTTCTATAGTATACAATTCTCATTCGCTTTATCTTCTTTCATTGATGTTGATCATTTTATAACTGCGCGCAGTTGGAAGTTGAGTGTAAGTATTATTCAATGATATTTATCTTATCGGTAATACTAAAAAATGTATTGATGTTCTAATTCTTGTCATTTCTTTTAGGATGTTATAAGCTTAAATAAAAGACCATTCCTACATTGTACTACCATTCCTATTTTATTATGGGTCATTTTAATTTTGAGTTCAATCATTTTAAACTCTCCGTCGTTGAATGAGTCTGCATGGATTATTTCTGCAAGTTTCTTAAGTCATCATATTCGTGATGGCACAAGAAGAGGTTTGTGGTTTTGTCCATTTGGTTCTATGCAGCCTATACCGTATTACATATACATAAGTATAACTATGGCATTACCTTATATCTTATATTGGCTTATGCAGTTTTATATATTAATACCAAATATTAAGGAAAACAGAATGACCATTAATATTGTATAAAAATAGCATAATAATAATAATAGATAATAATAAGAATCATTTTATTAATAATAATATATACATTGAATGAATTTATAGAAACAACTACATACAATTTCAATATGCAACATCAAATAAAAACTAATTATCTTATTATATAAATTAAATGTCAATCGCAAATGTAATTCTATCAACGACATAATTCCTATTTCTTATATACAATATTTATAATCTAACAAGCGAATTTAAGAAAAAATAACATAGGAAAGATATGGATGACCTCATTGAAACACAATAGTAAATTCACGTTGTTTACATACTCCTGAAATATACTTCAAGAAATATGTTTGATAACAAGGGAAATTTGAAAATAACATAACAGTTTGCAATGAAAGTAACTAACTAAAGAGAAGAATTGTGATTCGTGTAGGAAGATTGTGAAGAAGGAAGGTTTAATAAATTAAGTCGTAACAAATAGAAACGTAAGAAGGTGTAAGAAGAAAAATAAGTAGGAGGAAAGTGTGAGCATGTAGACAAATATTGCAGCTATACACAAGTGCTACCAACAAGAGATTGTATGTATACACGTATATATTGTTCATCGATAAAGTTGTGTATGTATATACATATATATACATACATATACATTTATGCAAACGTGTGTGTAAACATATGACTCCCGTATGTTGCGACAAAGGTAGCTACTATGTAGATACCACCGAGATCGGAGGAGGAGGGTCTTTATCAGCGTTACTTGTTCGACGACGGGCGTCGCCGTTAGCGTACTTTATTACGTTATCGTGCGTGGTCCCGCTTAGTTCTCCTCTTATTTCTACGACATTTCACCAATCCAAGAGATACCGATCAAATGAGAAACTCGATTCGATAGATAACAATAGTAGTTCATGGTTCTTCCAACCAACTTCTTCACGAGAGATTGATTTTTTTCTTTCTCTTATCTGTATATTGTGTTTTCAACTTTATTCGAAAATTGAATATTGAAAATAAGTGTGAAACAATAAGGGAAAAACGTTTTAGTTGATAAAATATTTAGAAATTATTTCTTGAGGATGTTACTCGATCATAGAGGATGCGAGGTCAATGATAACAGCTTGATACTGATATCTTGATTACGATCATCAATTTACACGTTAAGGATACGTCACCACATCGCGACATACTCTAAAATTGTTATCGATCATTTCTAATTTGGAATGGTAAGTTTTTTTAACGTTGATCATGTTTTTTTTTTTTTTTATATTTCTATATATACATATATATATTTTTTTTAATAAGTATTTTTCACACTACAATGCAGAAAAACAGTGGCGTGTCTTGTTATCGCTAGGAATATTATACGCGTATAAATATATATTTATGTTGAAAATTATCCGAGTTGCGAAAGATAAATTTGTCAATGTTAATTAATTCATTAGTGCATTCGTTTGATATCAATATTCTATCATTATTATTATTATTATTATTATTATTATTAATAGGACATTGTTCGAGATGTAATTAGAGGTGCATTACCATGCAAGACGCTTCATGCTTAGAATCCATGCTTAGAATACCTTTCCTTCGCGGTAATGTTTACGTCGTGAATTATTCCATTTCCAAGAACTCCTAACAGCAAATGTAGAATCTCAATGAATCATCATCCTTGCCCTTTGTTGAGAAAATTTGCGAATAAAATACAAAATTACGATAGAAATTATTGTACGATGATTTTGATTTGTTTTGTTTTTCTTCTTTTTTTTTTTTTTTTTTGAACAAATGTTAATAATAAAACAAACCTACGTCGCTTTTTTATTTACGAATTATAACAAAAAAAAAAAAACACGAGATTTCTTAAAATATATTCCGATTGCAACGACGGAGAAAATATTCGTAATTCGAACGAGTATTTATTTTGATTCGCGTGGCCGATCGTAACCGGAAATACGGCGAATTTTCCCGCGGTTTTTTTTTTGCTTCAAATTCTTGGAATTCGAAAATTTTATTGGACATTTTTAATGGGCGAGAACTGTTATTTACAAATATGTACGTACAAGATAAAATGATGCAAGTTATTATTTTATATTACAAAATAAAAAAACAAACAAGTAGGGTCAGTACACGCAAAAAAGAAGTTTGGTTTGTTCTTATTTTTTTTTTTTTTTATGTTTTGTTTAATAAAAAAAAAAGAAGAAGAAAAAAGTTTATTCGCAAGCGACGCATTATAAATGGTCCGAAACGTTTTCTTTTTGTTTTCTTTTTCTTTCTTTCTTATAATTACCGAAGGTAGAGATTTCATAAGCGTGTGTTATGCATGAAGAAATTCTTTCGTTAGTCGATGGGCACGCGTAGGTTTTAAAATGCGCGAGGAATTTTTTGTTATTCAAGAATGTTTTGCCTTGGATCAATTAATATAAACTCACATTCATTCCATCAAACGACGTCACGTCCGATTCCGTTTGATTTGATCGGATCGATCGCATACCGATATGTTTTTTTTTCTTTTTCTTTTTCTTTTTTTTTTTATTATAGGACACCTTAGAAGATTTTTCTCTGTACTTTTACATAGCCTGCGGGGTCGGATTGGGTCTACATCTGTTGACGTTCTGTTTACTTGCCATTTTTTACTGGAAAATCAAAAGTCTTTCTAAAGCGGAGTAAGTAATTATTATATTTATCTATTTTTTTTCAAAAGGGTGATTTATTTTTAGTTGAAATTTATTTTCAACACAGAGAGAAAGAAAGAGGGGGAGAGAGAGAGAGGGAGAGATCAGTTTATTTATAGAATATAAGATAAGGAAAAGGGGTTAGAAATAAAAAAAAAAAATAAACAGAAAACAAAATTTTCGTTTCTAAACATTTTTCCCCGTTTTAAAAAACCCCTTGCACTTTTAATAATTCACGTGTTTCTCATGCAGTTGCTGAGAGTATTCGGTCTTATCAATAACGGTGTGATATTTTAATCCACTTTAACAGACTGTTCTCATTTACTTTTTTGAAATACGAGATGTTACTACGGTAAATCAACTAATGTGAATGAAAACAGCTGACATGAGTCAATTACAACAGTGGATTAAGTTAACAAAAAATTGAAAAAAAAAAAAAAAACTAATTTTATGATTTATATATATATATTTTATAATATAAATAATAGTTTTTTAAACCACGGTTTTTTAATTGATTTGATGAAAGTGCAAGGGATTAAAAAAGTATTATAACAAATAGTTATCTGACTATAAAACCGTCGTGTTAGTGGCATACCCGGAGTTTCATTTTGGCGGAATTATCTACATCTTTACTTGATCTACGACGCGTCCAATCAAGAGGACGAGAAAGGTACGAAGAAAATTAGAGAGAGAGAGAGATAGATAGATAGAAATATTTTAGATGTTTTAGATAGATATAAACGAATTGTGTAAACTATTTTTAAAGAAAAGGGGGAAAAGAAAGAACAATATAAAAAAATAAAAATGCCCAAAAATATGTTCGCTTCTCTTTTTCTTTTTTTTTTTTTTATTCTTTTCTTTTCTTTTCTTTTTTTTCGGACTTATCATCGCTATAGAATTTCGCTAATAACGTTGACGATTAATCATTGATAGCGTATCTTTTATTACATCGGTCGCGATACGATTGTTCTTTCACGCTTATCTGACTTTTTTCTTTTTTTTTTTTTTTTTTTTCTTTTTTAAGAAGAAAATTAGCACACTCCTCCGAATCTGGTAATAATTAATTGTCGCAACGTGCGATCGTAGATATATTATAATATGTGTATTAGAAAAAAAAAAAAGTATAACGATTACGAAATAATTCTCTAAAATGGTGATGATGATTGTTCAGGTCGAACCAATTGGGCAGACAAACGAACATGATGGCGGATTTCTGTTATACGAATCCGACAATCGTGCCAGGCGAGGAATTATCTCGTCGTGGATTTTCTATGTATTGCGGCAACGACAATCTTCATGAGGATTCTAATTCGAAGAACAAGGAAATTAGTTATGGAACGTATCATCACGAGGCTTTGTCGAAATTTTGATCATTAATGATCCATTAATTTCAAATAATATTATCATTAATTTGTACTTAACGCGCGGTCATGATCAAAATTCATTATTAATTTATATATATATACATATATATATATATATATAAAAATACATGTATATATATATATATATATGTGAGTCATCGCATATTATTTATAGTAAAATAATATTTTAAGAAGTTCGTATTTTCTAATTTTTTGTTTTCTTTTTCTCTCTTTCTTTTTTTATTTGTTGTTTTTCATAACGTTAGCGGCCTTTCAAATATTTCCCGCCATATTAGTTTTTATCGATAGTTTTGATTCGCGACATCGTTATCAGATGTCGCCATGTGTACGTATTCACATCGATACAAAATTCGATACGAATTATAATTCGACGTGCAAATAATATTTGTCAACGACGTGGATAAGTTACGAAAATAAAAAAAACAAAATAATAATGATTTTTAATTTCGATATATGATACGTATTATTCGTAGATTAAATTAGATATTAAGGATTGCAGTATTCTTAATAATAATTTCAACGAATTCGCTAGTCTCATTAATTAAGTACACTTTATTATTAATAAATAATGTATATTTAATTATAAGGATTTTTTTCCTCTCAGAAAAAATAATTACGTTATTTGCCAAATATTATTTATCTATCTATCGTTCTAACGTTGTTTGCATTTTTATATACACATATATATATACATATATATTTTCATTAAGTTAATTATATAGAAAAGAACAAAAAAAAAGAAATAATACGAAGAAATAAAAAAAAAAATATAACGAAATTCGTTACGAATACAAGTTGGTAAACCAGTAAGACTTATAAAATGTATAAATATATTAACTTTTTATAAATTTCCACCCCTCGCACCCCTTTCCCGTTCCATTAATTTCATGCATCTCTCATAATTATAAGTGTAATTATAAGTCATACGAAAAAAAGAATGCGATTAAAAATAAAATTTTCTAATTATCTATTATTAAGCCGATAACGATTTTTCGTGTATAATCCGTTCCAGATAGTATTACAAGATAAAGAAGAAAAGAAAAAGAAAATGATGTACAGGAAAAATTACAGTCTTTTAATCAGGGATTGAAAAATTGTTACTATGATAGTTCTGGTTTTTGGATTAGTTATGAGAATCGAAAAAAAATATTATAACTTTACGGGGTTTTGATTTAAGTTTCTTTTATTTTTTTTTTTTTTTTTTTTTTAAACTATTATAATATTGGCATATTGTAATGGTTATTTTTTCAATTCTATTTATTTGTTATATATATATATAAATGAGAATTTTAAAGTATCAATAAGTTATAATATTTTTGTCGAGATATTTATAAATAATTCTTTCAATCAGATAACCGACTTATAATCATTTTAATTTATTATTAGATCGTTGCATACATACCACTTCTGATGTATTTTCAAAATTAATTTACAATTTTTAAAGACGTTTTCATTCATTTAATTAATGATACATCGATCATATATATATATTATCGTCCGATAATATTTGTTTTCTATTTAGTATGCTATTTTGTTAAGATTTCTAATGAAAATATATATATTTTATTATTTTGACGAATAAATTGTAGGACACACACTCTCGATCGAGAATGAAATGAGACAGAAATTATGCAACACAAATTATTAATATTAATAATAATATTCGAAAATATTGTATACATTTTAAAAATCATTTAAAAAGACATACACACAAATTGATTTGTTTTTTTATTAAAGTGAAAAGTATTGTAAGT